GGTGATCTGTTTGTTTAACATGGCTTTCAAAAACTTTCGAAAGGCAGGGCAGGATGGATATAGGTCTGTAATAGTTTGGATCTAGAGTGTCACCCCCTTTGAAGAGGGGGATGACCGCGGCAGCTTTCCAATCTCTGGGGATCTCAGACATTACGAAAGAGAGGTTGAACAGGCTAGTAATAGGGGTTGCGACAATTTCGGCGGCTAATTTTAGAAAGAAAGGGTCCAGATTTTTCAGCTCTTTCAAAACATCAGCTGTCTGAATTTGTGTAAAGGAGAAGCGGGGGGGGGGGGGGGGGGGGGGGGGGGGGGGGGGGGGGCAAGTTGCAGCGGAGGGTGCAGAGCTGGTGGCCGGGGTAGTGGTAGCCAGGTGGAAAGCATGGCCAGCCGTAGCAAAATGCTTGTTGAAATTCTCGATTATTGTAGATTTATCGGTGGTGACAGTGTTTCCTAGCCTCAGTGCAGTGGGAAGTTGGGAGGAGGTGCTCTTATTCTCCATGGACTTTACAGTGTCCCAAAACCTTTTGGAGTTAGTGCTACAAGATGCAAATTTCTGTTTGAAAAAGCTAGCCTTTGCTTTCCTAACTGATTGTGTATATTGGTTCCTGACTTCCCTGAAAAGTTGCATATCGCGGGGGCTGTTCGACTCAAAGAGAGAGGTGACTCAAAGAGAGAGAAAGACAATAGTTGAACAGTTTTTAACAAATTAATTTCTTCCAAAATTAAGGAGAAGCAAGAGAGAGATAGAGAGAGATAGTCATTTTTTTTCACTTTCAGTTTCACTTACTTAGCTAGCAAATGCAGCTAGCTAGTTTAGCCTACTCAAACACCCTGCTCAAACAGAGGAATGCTTTGTTAGCTAGCTGACTATGACTATCCAACACAACACTGGAACTCTTCCAAGTCAAGGTAAGCTTTTGGTTTTACTAATGTATTGCCACCGGGGTCCGCCGGTGTAAGTGCAAAACTGCTTACTGACTGTACACTGTAACATTACTGCATGATTGTAGCGGGTTTACTAAGGCGTTAGTTCTATTAGCTATGTTGACTATGACGTTCCTTTAGCTAATATGTTGACAATGATGTAGGCTGTGTGTAGCGGTTATGATATGGTTTGGCTTGGAATGGTTTTTTCGCCTGGTCACATACAGCTGATGTGTTGTGCATTGAAGTCCACAAGTGAAGGGAAAAGGTGAGAGGAGGAGAGCGCATAGATGCGAGAAGAAATACAATGTGGCTGCTATGAAAGTGAACTGTGTTTACACGTGATCAGGGGTGTATTTGTTCTGCCGATTCTGTTGAAAAACATTTCTTAAACGGAAGAAAACTGAAAGAAACAGAGATAAGATACCTGAATTCGTCCAATAGAAACTCTCGTTTGTAACTGTTGGACTAATGATTACACCCTAGATAAGCTAGATGCAGGCAAGAGTGTGCAAGGCGGTATTGAATGTGTCACTGTCTGTCGCCTCAAATTTTTCTGTCAACCTGTGTGCACCTACGTTGTAAACTTTCATTCATAGGCTAGGTTGTAGCAACCTCATGATGGGTCTAGGGAAAATGTGAGTATCATGTTGTTGCCTAAACCTCTCGCTGTTGATATGAATGACAGTCATCCAATATGCTGTAATAGAAATAAGGCCATGCTCATGAAAAACAAAATTGTCCTCCCTCATCTTAAATGGCACCGACCGCCTCTGGTACCGACAAGGATCATTAGGACAGTCACTCAGGAAAGGAATGATTCAACTTTTCCAGTTTTGACCAGTCAAAAACACACCATAGGGGAGACAGCACAGAAACCATTTTGAATTTAAGCTCAGATCAGCTTACATTCCCCAACTTCTGACCTTAAACATTACCGAGGGAAACATGTTGAGATCCTCTACTCGTCCTGTGTAAGTTGCCATGAGCCGACTACATTAACATAATGCTTTAGGAAGGGCAGTAATCTATGTGACAAAGGATACTGTTATAATGTAATAAATGGTATGAATGTATCACAGGAAGTATCAAATAATATAATTCTCAAATATATACACTTTGTCTTAGAAACTCTATACTCTACAGGGGATATTATAGGCTTTACACTCACTGCGTGCTGCACATACGCACACACACAACACACACAGGTTTGTAGTCTTAATGGTTCTGCTCCGTTTGTATTATTATAAATACCTGATCCACCTGTACTGTCTCGGGAAAGTCTACCAGTAAACCACACTGTACTGCACACACACACACACCATATCTCTATCGCTCTCGCTCTTTCACTCAACCTTGGTATAAAGTTTCAGTTTCCCCTGCTTATTTTTCTCTCTGTTCCTTCTTTCTGCACCTGACAGTGGATTGTGAAGGAATTATAACTTCAAAACTAAATCCAGGTACTTCTTATCTACTATAAAAATACATTTAAAAACTTTGCTGATGTCATTTTTAGTATTTTTTTTTAATGAAACGCAACACAAAGGCAATAAAATTAAGATAAATAACTTTTCTTTTTTGTTTGTTTTTTACACAGGGGAAATATTTTAGTCATGTTTCCAACAATGACTGAGACAAATGTCACAAAGTATATATCAACACTACAAAGTAAATTGTTTCCAGTGGGCCTCAAAAACAGGTTGCGCAAGGATGATGACACTTTACCCAATGTGATGTTAAGAACTGAATCCAGTGTTTCTTTAAGAAAATACAGCTTTTAAAAAATTGTTTAAAGACCTACAAAAAGTAACATAACATGGATGTTCACATTATATTTCTTTTAAAGCTTTTGCTTTGCAGTGTAACAGCAACAATGTTTAAAAAAGTCGACGTATGTCGCAAACGAAAAGGCATGAATGTTTTCCTTGTGAAAACCCCAACACTGAAAACACAGTCATCCCAGGCTTGCATAACAGTCAGGAAAAAGACAATGGCGAAATAAAAATAAAAATATTAAAAACAGAAAGAGACATTTTTGGCAATGCAGGAACAAGATTAAGCACAATTTTGATTTGATCTATTTTGTTATTTTTTATATTACCCTCTTTTGATTGGCTCTGATTGTCCTTCACAGTCATGTGATGTCATATACGGTTGTCATGGAGCCTTCAAGTGCAAGAGCCGGGCAATGTGCAGAAAGAAAATGTTGCTCCCCTGGCAACATGGAGGTGAACCTTAAGCCGTGTTCTATGCCAACAAGTATGAGGGAACACAACTATTTTACTTCAATATGATTGCAGGATCCCGGAATTTTGATTAGATTGAATATTTTCATATTTGTATATTTCTTCATATTGTATTCTAATGTGATCAAGCGTACATACAGATGCGCTTTGTTTTTGTTTTTTTGAGGCCAGATAAATACCTACATAGATCTCCTCTAGGAATATAATATAGATATAGAACATCTAGAACTCTCCAGTCTAGATCTTAAGGATCAGCGAATAGAAGAAACTCAGTTTCTGTCCAGTATTTATATTTCTGTTAAACCCCCACAGGAGAATAAACACATAACAATAGACACAATAAAAACCTATATGAAAAATATACAAAAACAGACGAATGATGATGTGGACACAAAAAGCCTTTTCCACTTTTCTTATAAAAACATCCCATTCCATCCCCGTCACCAAATCCACCCTAAACCCCAAAATGGGACTTGAACCCATCCCTTGTAGCATATTTACAGCTTTACCCCTCATGGACCCCATCCCACCCCATCCCCACAACATACTCAGTGCAGGAAGAGAAGAATAAAACCTCCTCCTCCCTAAGCCAAAAGAACAACTCAAAGAAAACTCAAGTCTTTGAAAAAATAACACAACCTAAAGAGCAACAAAGAGGAATATAATTCTCTCTTCATGTATATTATATTTGTATACTATGTACAGTTTAATCATAACGTCTTTATACATAATGCTGTACAACACACAGAGATAGACAAATAATTCAGCTGTACATCTATGCACCTGAATAGGAGGATATGAGAGGTATTGAAGTGTATGGCTTGACTGGAGAAATAATCATTCCTTTTTGTCTTTTTTTTTTTAGTCTAGAGAAGAAGCTGTTAGTAAATCGATCTATATATTAATTAATATTCATAGATTTACGTTTAGTAGGTTTACTTTCTGAGTGTTAAAGACATCGAGGGTTTTCCATGGTGAGGTCTAGACTAGAGACCAACGCACGCACAGACAATCAAACACACACGCTAAAGCACTATTTACTCTGAGCTCTTCAAGTACCAAATGCATCCATTACAAGCACTCAGCACACAAACGTACACATACTCTCTCTCATACACACTCACGCACACACACACACTTCAGAACTACAGTGTTTTTGGTCCTGTTAGGATTTCTCAATCCTGCCGTTGTTCATTTATCATCAGACCAGTGTGGCCACCAGTAAGACCATTTAACCCAGTATGGGGAGAGAAAAGTCTCTGCTCTCCTCTCCTCTCCTTATGTTCTCTCTCTCTCCCAGTCTCTTTCATGTATTCTATATAACCCTTATTTAACCAGGTCTATAGGCTGAGAAGTGAAAACAACATATTCTCACTTACAGCAACAACCGGTGAGAGTTCCAGAAGTCTCTCTCTGTCAGACTGCCTGAGAGTCAGTCTATGACAGTCTTTGACTCTATGACAGACTGTAGAACAACTATTGGAGACAGAGAGTAGAGTGGGCACTGTCTGTCTTTGTTTTAGGTCAGTAGAGTACTGAAGTCCCTCTTCAGGTCAGATGACTCCAGTGCTGATAATAGAATCCACTGCGGTCCAAAGTGCTGTTATCCCTGTTGGGGTTTAGGATCGTCCACACCCAGATAGGACAAAGAACCAAGATCCAGAACCAGCAGGAACTAGAACCAGACCAATGAAGATCCTCCTTTCCGGACTCTTCTAGTTCTGGACAGAACCATGCTTCACTGACACCAGCACCAGTTGCTCGGTCCAGCTCTATGAGATGAGGTAGCCATCTTTAAGGCTTTGTTTTGTTTACACTCCATAGCTGTTGCTAGGGGACGATGGCCACGCCTTCGGCGCTGACTAGCTGGCCTGTGGTTGGTTCGTAGGTCCCGGCCAGGTAGAACAGGTCCTGAGCTCCGCCCCCTGACTTGCGTCTGCGGATCAGGTGCTCGTACTCGGCACGGTTGACCACCTGACAGCGGTGGGAGATGGTCTGGACGTCATTCTCATCCTCGTGGCTTGACTGGTACAAGGCATGCTGGGTAGAGGAGGGAAGAAGGAGACAGATGTTAAACACAGAGATAAATAGAAAATCAAAAGATAAATAAAGTGCCACTTCCTTAATCCCCATGGAGAAATAGATTTAAGTTGATTCATTGTTGATCAAATAGTTGATACATTTGATCAAAAAGTTGTTGAATGATTATCCATTGTACCTTTCCGTCGTGGTGCCTCTTCCCCAGGCGTGTCTCCTCAGGATGGTAGAACCACTTGACCCTGACCACCATGCTGGAGGACCAGGACTCCCAGAGGCTCTCCACCCGCCCTACGTAGGGCAGCTGGGGCCGACCGGGGGACAGGAACACAGCACAGTCCCCCACACGCACCGTCTCACCACCACGCACGATCGCCTTGTAGAACAATTTACGGGCCTTACCCTTCAGACCACGCCTCTGTAGGGAGAGAAAGAGGGGGGAAGTTAGGAAGGAGTCCAGGTAAGAACATGGAACCAAACGTCTATGATGGCAAAATGGCTATGGCCAGAGCCTTTAGAGCAGTGGTATTAAAACCTTTTCAGCCATTTTTTGGCGACCCCACCCCACCTCAAATCTAATGACACAACTGTAAAATTGGTAAACTTAGATTTTCACATCAACAAATAACCTTCAATTCATTACATTTTCATCTTTCCTATCAAAACAATAAAATTGTATTTTTCAAATTATCATTCTCAATAACATTTGTCCCATAAAATAATCTAAATCTGTACTCTTAATTTTGAGTTCCCCCCTCAAAAATTAAATATACATTTTTAAATTTGGAGACCCCACTGCAATTCCTCCTGACTCCAACTTTGAATACAACTGCTTTAGAGTATTTAGAGGGCCCTGGTTATTCTGTAGCTTGTATCTCAAATGTGACCCGTTTCAAGAAGCTAGGCGTATGTCGCACATCACTACTTCACAGGAGTGGCAATTGAATGTTTAAAAAAAATGTTTTATCAAAATGCGTTTTGGTGCAGAAATGCCTTCTGGAACATGTGAACTGTCATGTGCCTTAATAACAAACTTGTATGCCATCTGTAAATACGAATACAATTGTTAAATTACGAGCCTAGTTGGTTTAGCCACAGAAAAAGACAGGAACCTTCCCGCTAGCCATGATTGTTTGAGATAATGGATGGGCTGGACATGCCGAGAGATGAGTTCGGATTGGTCTGCCATGTAGCACGCTTCTGTCTATAACATGACCTGCTCAGTATGTGTAGATAATCCTTGCTACCGCAGCTTTTTTGAAAGATATAATGTTAGCCATGGAGAACTGCAAAAGTGTTGCTACTGTTCTCAACAACATTGCTGCCCAGAATTTAGCAGGCGCAATCGACAAAGATCAGTGGGAAAACGTTGTGATGGAATACTTTCTGCACACGGTCAGTGTGAACCGGAGTGACTTGACACAACAATGGACCAAACAAGCTGTAGCGAGCTACAAACCAAATGGAACAGACAAGCTGCCATGAAGCGTTCATCCATATATACGGGTAAGAGTCAAGCTACATTTTCAGATATTATACGTTTCTAATTTTGTCAGAAAGTAGTTTTCATTGCAAGTTAAAGCATACTTTTAGCTAGCTAGCGATCGTTAGCTTGCTGGCTCGCTAGCTGACGTTATGTGTATGATCTGTGTAGTAATATTTTTCATATCTCAGAAAGCCATTTGCATTGCTAGTTATTGCCTAATGTTAGCTAGCTAGCTGACATTGAACCTAGTTGGTTAGCTTTAGCTACCTGCAGATTCATACTCCAGCATTTCATGCTTGATATGACAATCCATTTGTACTGTAGCTATGGGTTGGGATTATCGTTCATTGTTTAGCTAGCTAGCTACATGTCTAAACAAAATACTCCACTTCGCAAAATAATGAATACATGACCCATCAAGTTAGCCAGGTGTGTCTGGGGGTGATTATGGCCATCTATTGTATTTCATGAACATGTGTACATGTCTAGACAATAGTGACATCCACTTAGCTAGAGGTGGTTATAGCATTTCTTTCACATGACCCATCAATTTAGACAAGTGTCTGGGTAAGCATCATCTAATAATTACAAAATATTTATAAAATATTTGTATCTGGACACTTTCAAAGTCAGTTTAGGATACAGGCCAAGGACTAGATAAAGTGTATTTTTACATGGAGTTTTTCCTTATTGTAGGCAACTACTTAAACCACTTTTAGTTTTGAAATCTTTGGTTGTTTACTACACTACCTTACTCAGTCTGTTTAGCACACGGCCTCACATGTGGGGTTACAAGTTTATGAACTTTCAAAGCAGAATTACTTTCCCATTGTTCCTCAACCACAGTGTATGACATACCATTTTGTAGCTCCGAGTCTCTACTTTTATCCAATGTAAAAAACACAATTTAAAATGTTGCTACATAAGACCGAATCGAGGCGGTCGGTCACAAATGTAGTGATCTTACTCAAAAAGTAAATTCAGTAAGACCTTACTCAATAAGTCTATTTCAGACTGTGTTAACCATCAAGGCTCCCACATACAAGCTTCCAGGACAGGTTATAATGGCCTCTACTCTGACTCTGTGTGTCCTCTCACCTGCGTGGGGTTTCCAGACCACTTCCACAGCTGGTGACCCGGCAGGAGGGCGGACATATTGGGATGGGGGTCCGGTGACAACATCCTCTGCCTCTTGGCTGCTGGGTGGTCCTTGGGAGGGTTGGGCTGAGAGGCCGGGGTGTTGGGGGTCGAAGTGTGTGTGTTGGGAGTCAGAGTGTGTGTGTTGGGAGTCGCAATGTGTGTATTGGAGCCAGGTCCATCTCTCCTCTTGGTTTGGCTTTTGGCTGCGCTACTGCTATTATTAGTCCTCCCCTTTGATGTGTACTCCTTCCTGTCCTCTCCTCTGTCACTTCCTCTCACCTTTGAACCTCCGGTGATGGCCATGGCTGACTTGGCAACGTAGGCGTGTGGTTGGGTCGAGGCTGAGGAGGCGGGGTTAGGGGAGGGGTCAGGGGTTAAGGGGTTAGAGGTCAAGCTCTGTCTGTGTTTGTGTTTCTGCTGCTGGAGCAGTGCTCGGTGGAGAAGGAGGGATGAAGACTCTTCTTCATCTGAGGAGTAGGAGGAGTCGGAAGAACAGAGGGAGGAGGAAGAGAGGGAGCCAGAGGAGGAGGAAGACGAGGAAGAGGAGGAGCAGACGGAGAGACGGGAGAGGAAACGTCCCGCGCCCGCCGCTGCTGCTCTCCTCCGAGCTACGTCTTCATCTCCATCATCATCATCCTCATCCAGCTCAGAGTAAGAGCTGGGGCAGTCGCTGGGACAGTCCAGAGCTCCAAACTCTCCCCCCAGACCTCCTAAACCAGATGAGGGGAGCCCCTTTATGAGAGCTGGAGCCCCCTTCAGGAGCAGCTCAGACCTGGACACTCCACTCTCTCCTCCTCCTTTCTTTCTGTCCTTCACCACCAGGGCAGAGTGGATGTACCTCAGGGGTGCACCCCCCACCCCTGCAGAGGGACCCTTGTGCCCCCTGCCGCCCCCCAGACGCAGCAGAGCTTTCCCATTCTTGGTTTTGGGCGACGTCACGCCCTCGTGATCCAGCTTCACCAGGAACTGTTTTCTGTCCCTGTCGCTCGACTTCCTGTTGGAGGGCACTGTTGGCATGGTGACAGAGTCCCTCAGCCCCAGAGGCATAACCGTGGTTACAGGCCGGTGGGTTCCGGTTCCGAAGGCTCCAGCGTAACCATTGGCGATGCTACTGAAGGAGTCGATCTCGAATGGGGAACTGAAGATGCCCTTGAGGGGTGCGGGAGGGGCGAAGGGGTGTGTGGCTGGGCGGTGGAACACCCCCAGGTCTTGCTGGCGACCCACTCGGTGGGTTTTACGGGACGTCCCGTTGAACAGGAAGAAGTCCGCTGGAAGTCTCTTTGCTGGCCAGCTTAACGAGGAAGTGTTACCCCTGGTTACGCTCTCTGATGATGTTGTGGTGGAACTATTGGCCCCTGGCTTGACCTTTTTGGGTCGTCCTACTGGATAAAGAGAAAGGGTGAGAGTGAGAAAGAAAGGTAGACAGTGAGAGAGAGATTTCTAAACAAGACTGATCAACCTAACCTTCCTTTAAACCAGGTAAGTCAATGAGAACAAATTCTTCGTAACCATAAATAACAGCCCTTACTGTGGAGCTGGAGGCAACTTGTCACATTTAGTCTGTGTTGAGTTATGAGAATGCTGTTTGACTAGAGGGCATTCAGATCAGTGACAGTTAGAATAGTGATGACGTTAGGCAGGAGGGGGGTTCCATGCAGAAGGAAGAAGTTGTAAGATAAAATCATATTATATATGTGTATTATACATGAGTAAAGCTGGTCTGACTATGAAGCAGTTTGTCTTGGGGCTACAGTGACTGATTGGGGCTGGGATGGTGAGTGATGAGACGACTGGTGACTGGTTGTCTATGCTATCTATCTCACTGGTGTTGCTCTGGTGCTGTAGGCCACAATTTCAAACAAATGGGAGGCACTGGCACCATCTACGCAACATAATATAAACGCAACATGCAACAATTGAAAAGATTTTACTGAGTTACAGTTCATATAAGGAAATCAGTCATTTGAAAAAAAATCATTAGGCCTTAATCTATAGATTTCACATGACTGGGAATAGAGATATGCATCTACTGGTCACATATACCTTTTAAAAAGGTAGCGGCGTGGATTAGAAAACCAGTCAGTATCAGGTGTGACCACCATTTGCCTCATGCAGTGTGACACATCTCCTTCGCATAGAGTTGATCAGGCTGTTGAGTGTGGCCTGTGGAATGTTGTCCCACTCCTCTTCATTGGCTTGCGAAGTTGCTGTATCTTGGCGGAAACTGGAACACGCTGTCGTACACGTCGATCCAGAACATCCCTAACATGCTCAATGGGTGACATGTCTGGTGAGTATGCAGGCCATGGAAGAACTGGGGCATTTTCAGCTTCCAGGAATTCATTGTCCGTAGCTTATGCCTGCCCATACCATAACCCCACCGCCACAATGGGGCACTCTGTTCACAACGTTGACATTAGCAAACCGCTCGCCCACACAACACCATACATGCTGTCTGTCATCTGCTCTGTACAGTTGAAACCGGGATTCATCTGTGTAGAGCACACTTCTCCAGCGTGCCAGTGGCCATCAAAGGTGAGCATTTGTCCACTGAAGTTGGTTACGACGCCGAACTGCAGTCAGGTCAAGACCCTGGTGAGGACGATGTGCACACAGATGAGCTTCCCCGAGACGGTTTCTGACAGTTTGTGCAGAAATTCTTCAGTTGTGCAAACTCACAGTTTCATCAGCTGTCCAGGTGGCTGGTCTCAGACGATTCCGCAGGTGAAGCAGCCGGATGTGGAGGTCCTGGGCTGGCGTGGTTACACGTGGTCTGCGATTGTGAGGCCGGTTGGACGTACTTCCAAATTCTCTAAAACGACTTCGGAGGCAGTTTATGGTAGAGAAATGAACATTCAATTATCTGGCAACAGCTCTGGTGGACATTCCTGCAGTCAGCATGCCAATTGCACACTCCCTTAAAACTTGAGACATCTGTGGCATTGTGTTGTGTGACAAAACTGCACATTTTAGAGTGGCCTTTTACTGTCCCCAGCACAAGGTACACCTGTGTAATGATCATGTTGTTTAATCAGTTTCTTGATATGCCACACCTGTCAAGTGGATGGATTATCTTGGCAAAGGAGAAATGCTCACTAACAGGGATGCAAATACATTTGTGCACAGAATTTGAGATAAATAAGCTTTTTGTGCGTATGGGACATTTCTTGGATCTTTTATTTCAGCTCATGAAAAATGGGACCAAAACTTTACATGTAGCGTTTATGTTTTTGTTCAGTGTAATACGATGGAATTACGCTCTGAGCCATTACCTGGTCTCCGCTTCTGGCTCCTCCCTCCTGCCTCCCCATTGGTTGGTCTCTCTGTGGGCTTGTCTCTACTGTCCTGGGTGGAGCTTCTGCGACCACGACGACCAGGTGAGAGCAGGGCTGGAGATGGCTCCGCACCTGAGAGAGAGATAGAGAAAGCGAGAGTGTGACAGGGAGAGTTTATTTATTAGACATTCTTTCTTTTTCTTTTTTATAATTTCAGTTAATTAAATGTATCGACTGAAGATTACACAATACAACAGCAGTAGTGTTGTACCTGTATACATGATTATATGTACTATTATTATTACTACTGAAATGAACTGTATTTCATTATCCTCATTGCATTGTACTGTATTTACTGTATTTACTGAAATGCTGTACCACTATACTGTTTTAGCAATATCTACAAATCTACAAATTGTACTTCATGCCAATAAAGCAATCTGAATTTGAATTTGAGAGAGTGACAGAGCGAGAGAGAGCGTGACAGCGTGAGAGAGTGACAGAGAGAAAGAGATGGAGAGAGGGGGAGAGCGAGACGGGCGGGAGGGAGGTCAAAAAAGACTTCTAGAGTAAATCTGGATTGAATGTTGACAGACTCCAGTTTTCTCCAGACCACCTATTTACCCTCCAGGAATGTGTATATATGAGAGAGAGCGAGAGAGAGAGAGTGTGTGTGCGTGTGAGCGCGCAGTGTACTCACAGTGTATCTGGTACCCTGGGGGCAGCAGGCGTATGTTGGGCAGAGAGATTCTTCCTCTGTCTCCATCATCAAACTCCACCATCACACTGCCCTCCTTCTCCTCCTCTCCCGGACCCCCTCTGTGGACGTATCCAGGGTAGAGGCAGCGGGAGCGTTCGCTCCAGTAGGCACAAACACGCATCCCGGCAGTCAAGATGGCTTCCGTCTGCGGCCGCACATCCAACACCGCTTCCTCTAATAGCTGTTCTAGAGAGTAGATCCTAGGTCTGTTTCCCCTCTCCCCCTCGATCACTACACTGAATCTAGGAGAGAGAGGGAGAGAGAGAGAGAGAGAGAGAGAGAGAGAGCGAGAGAGAGCGAGAGAGAGAGAGAGAAGGAGCGAGAGATGGAGAGAGAGAGAAAGAGAGAAAGAGAGAGAGTGAGACAGAGAGACAGAGATTGTATTAAATGTATTACCAGGCAGTCAGCCAGTCCTTTGCATTAACATGTCAATCTGTGATTAAGCAGGCCATATGAGTAGGTGTCAGTGACTTACATGTCAGGCAGGTCCAGAGTGTGTAGTCGGGCAGCATACAGCAGCTCATCCTCCTTAGATATCAACACCTTCAGACCATCCACCAGCATCTCCCTGCTCAGCACACAGTTAAGCAGTGCTGCAGAGAGAGAGAAATATGAACATTTAGACTGGTATGTGACCCTGTGGTGTCTGTGTGTGTGTGTGTGTGTGTGTGTGTGTGTTCTCACCTGGTGCTCTGTGTGTGTGAGATGTATGCTCCATGTCTTCCTCCTCCCCCTCGGAGAAGCTACTGTCCTCGTCCAATCGGAATCCTTCGTCAGCCGCAAAGCTCTCCAGCAGCCGGCTCACCGCACGCCCTTTAGCCTGCGACAGGAAATTACATCATTAGACTATATATTTCTTTAAACTCCTAAACCAGTGGTCACCCTCCCAGGTCCTGGACAGCTACAGAGTGTGCAGGCTTTGGTTCCATCGCAACACTAATTCAAATGATGTCATTGCTCATCAATGAATTTGGTATTTTAGTGCAGACCTAGAACAAAAGCATGCACACCCTGTAACCTCTGCCATATTTTGTTGTCAAAACTATCCCTGTCCACCAACACCTCTTCACCGACACACGCCCGCACAAAACACACACACACACACACACACACACACACACACACCAGCCCCTGTCCTATTCCGGTTTAAGCTGGTTTCCTAATGATGACTGATGACTGATGATGGAGCTGTAAAATCAGCCTGTTCAACAGGTTTCTGCCTGTATCTGGGCTTTCCAAAGAAAGGACCATATATTACTGCCTGAAAGATGTGTGTGTAAGGGTATGTGTGTGTGTGTGTGTGTGTGTGTGTGTGTGTCTGTGTTTCTATGGGAGTTTTCCACATGAAGGGACCATATATTACAGTGACAGAGGTTTCATCACCAGAGGGTATGGAAGATTACTCACCTCTCTGGGTTGGTGTGTGTGTATAGTGTGTATGCGTACATGAACGAGTGTGTTTGTGTATTTAGTACGCGTGCGTGCATGTAAGTATGTGTGTGTAGATTGGTGTTTTTGTTCCGTGCTGTTTGCTTAGAGTCATGTGTTTGTCACATTCCCTCCATATGACTATGATAAGGATCAGTCAGAGACACCCACCTCAGGACTGTTCTCACAAAAACACACTAGACTTGTGTTTACGCAACACACACACACACCTTATTCATCTACCGTATATCTCACCAGCTGACAGGTTCACAGGTTGTTTAAAACTGATCAGCTCATGTAGAGTTAGGTAATAATGCCTTTGGTAAGATAGGTCATGCCATAGCTTCAGACTTTTATGGGTGCTGGCAAGGAAATTCGTCAAAGCACATTTATATCACCTTTCCAGTTACGTAATGTACCTTCTCCCCATTCCTCCATGCCCACTCTTCCTCTCTCTTCTACTCTACCTGTTGTTCCTGCTCAGGACTCTCCACCAACTGCCATTTCCTGTTCCACACTGCCTCTTTCTGTTTGCCCCTATCCCTCCTTTGCTCATACCCCCCCACCCCCTCCCCCTCCACCCATGCCCATTCTGACCCCCATCCTCACCGGTTTCTTCCTGCTCCTCCTGCCCCTGCTGGTGTCCTCTCTCTGGGTCTCAGCCTCCAGCCAGCAGCCTCTCCTCTGGAACAAACAAACAGGTCAGGTTAGCATTATAGACAATGATCATGATCACCATGTAGCTAGGGAGACACCGTAACACGTGCATTTTAACAGCCTCAAGTAGTTGAGGGAGATTTTAACAGAGGAAGCCGTTTTTGATTAACCTAGAGACCCAAAGTCCCTCCCCCCAGGTCCTCCCATTCCCCCTCCTCACCTGTCCCAGAATGCTTTGTGGTCCTGAACTCTTCATCTCAGCCTCCGCCAGAGCTCCCTGGATCCCCCTGCTGTCCTGTAGGCTGTTGCCCACTGACGAGGCCCTCCAGCTGTGTGCAGGTCCTCTCCTAGCCCCCTGTGGCTCCTGGAGCTCTGGGTATCTATGGTCTGCAGAAGCAGGGCGCGGCCTGCAGGGGGCTCCTCTCATCCTCAGCTCCGCACTGGGCATGCTCACATCATCACCTTGCCTCTCCTTCTTGCTCCTGGCTTTCTGATTGGCTTGAAGCTTAGTGGCTGGGCCAATCGCAGCAGTGTTTATTGTCGTGTCTTTGGAGGATGGTGTCGTCGTCTTGACGTCATTGGTTCCTTTGTCGCTTTCATAGCCCCCCTCCTCTTCCTCCTCTGTGGAAGTAAGGGATCAATAAAATCGATTAGAAACTGTCTGCAGATCAGTTGTGACACGACCATCTCAAGCTCAGGCTCTATTGAAAGACAGTGTAGCTACAGTGGAGTCCAAAATTATTGACACCGTTGATAAAGATGAGCAAAAATGACTGTATAAAATAAATAATACAAATACTGAGCTATATTGTATGTTCCATTTTTGGCGGGAAATTATAGTATTTTATACTAATACAATTGCTCAGAGAAAGAGATCTGTTCAACAAGTAATACATGTTTCCCTCAAAAAGGTAGTGGTAAAGATTATTGACCTCACCTTCCAAGGATAATGGCTCTGAGCCTTTTTCTAAAACGTTTTATGAGTTGGAGAACACATTGGGAGGGATCTTAGATCATTCCCCTATACAGAATCCTTTCAGATCCTCAATATCCTTAGTCTGTGCTTATGGACTGCCCTCTTCAATTCAAACCACAGGTCTTCAATTGGTTTCAAGTCCAGAGACAGGTGGCCATTGCAACATTTCTTTGTGGATTTTAATGTAAATTTAGGGTTATTGTCTTGCTGGAAGATCCACTTGTGGCCAAGTTTCAGCATCCTGGCAGAGGCAACCAGGTTTATGGCTAACATATCCTGGTACTGTAAAGTTCATGATGTCGGTGACCTTAACAAGGGCCCCAGGACCAGTTAAAGCATAATAGCCCCATATCATCAAAGATCCACCACCATATTTTACAGTAGGCATGGGGTTCTTTTCTTCTCATGCATTCTCACTTGGACGCCAAACCCACCACTGGTGTGCGTGGTCAAAGAGCTCTATTTTCATGTCATCCAACAAATGTAAACACCTGGAGTTTGCAAAACAGCATTGGCACTTGGATTGGAAGCAGTGCTTTGGTCAGATGACATGAAAATAGAGCTCTCTGGGGACGCACACCAGTGGTGGGTTTGACGTCAAAATTAGAATGCATGAGCAGAAAAGAACCCCTAGGTATTGAAAGGTATTGAAAACAGGGGTGCCAATAAGTTTGACCCCTACCTTCTTAAACAAAAAAGTATTACTTGTTAAACAAAATCGCTTTCTCTGAGCAATTATATTAGTATAAAATAATATAACTTACCAATTTTTTTGAGCATACAATATAGCTCAGTATTTGAATTATTTATTTTATACAGTCATTTTTGCTCATCTTTATTAAGGGTGCCAATAATTCCAGACCACACTGTATATCCACAACTTAGCATCCACAACTCAGTGGCCTATAGCCTATAGGCAATAAACTAACACATAGCAGATAGGCAGTGAAGACACCACACAAACAGTGCATACATATCGAACACACTACTATGGTCAGTTGGCCACCCAGAAATGCATGGACCCAATGGTTATCTCTCTTTCTCATGCACAGACAAGCATAAGCACACACACACACACACATACTGTACACACAAATAATCACGCACGCACACATGCAAACACGCAACATCTTTATTGCCAGCTGTGTGTGACTGACTGTGGGTCGTGTCGGGTGTCGACATGTTGCTGACACACTTGTCACTTACTCAGCGTTCTCGTCAACACTCTCTCACACACACACACACACACACATCACAAACACTACGCTGCCGCGAGGGGACAGGCAGATAGTGGCAAACACACACACACACAGGACCTAACGGCCACTTCAATGAGTTGACTTTATTTCTATGAAATGTTAATTTGAGATTATTGGGGAAGGGGGACATTGTGTCTCTACTGGTTGGATTGAGGGGGTGCAGGGGGGTGACAGGGGTGTGACATTCTAAAAGAGGCGATAGAGGGGTTCACGTTACAGTGCGGCTTTGGGGGCCGCATGCCAGTGGGCAGCCGTTAACGGTTTTAATGGTGTGACAGACGAGCCGGGAAGTGAGAGGAGGCCACCGTGATGGGAGACATCTCACTCACTTACACACACTCACACTTTCACACACACACACACTCTCACTCACTTACACACACTCACACACACACTCTCACTCACTTACACACACTCACACACACACTCTCACTCACTTACACACACTCTCACTTTCACACACACACACACACACACACACACATACACTTTCACACACTCACTCTCACTCACTTACACACACTCTTACTTTCACACACACACACACACACACACTTTCACACACACACACACACACTTTCACACACTCACACAGCTAGGAGACATCTCACTGAGACGTAACTCACCCTGGCCGGAGGTCTCGCTGTTGCTCTTCCCCTCGTTCACTTCCTGGTTCACAGAGGCCCTGCCCACTCTGCGGAGGACTCTGGTCGATGGTCCGCTCAGTTTGACCTTTGGCCGACCTCTCCTCCTCCTCCTCACCACCTGATTGGGCACCCAGTCCTGCTGGGTACTGGATGTATTGGCTGCTGGGTGGACATGGAGACATGGGTGTTAGTGTCAGGGAGTGTATGAGGTACAAGGTTTACGTGTGTGTGTACCTGTGTGTATGTGTACATACATGTGTGCATGTGTGGAGTGCATGTGTGTGTTTTACCTGTGTCACTCTCTCTGCAGTTTGCGTGGGCTACAGGTCTAGGGTCCCCTCTGCGGCGGTGCATGCCCCCTGACGGTGCACCTCTCTGGGCCACAGCCTTTCTGCTTCAACTGGGTCACCCTCCGTGCTAGTCTGGAGCTCAGGCTGGGACGACCTCTCCTCCTCTTGAGGAAGCCATGATTGGTCATCCTCTTCCTCCGCTTCTCTCCGCCCCCTTCTGCTTCCACATCCGCCGCCCTGAAACAAATGAAGAAGAGAGAGAGATGGATTTTAGAAAAGGGAGGAAGATGGAGAGGTGCAAACAAAAAGGCTGAAGAAGATTAAAGAAAAGGTCATGTCTTTCTGCCCTCTCTCTCCTCTCTATCTCTCCCTCTTTCAAGAGCTCTTCTGCTTTCTCTTTCTCTTTTTTTCCTTCTCTCTCTCTGGCCTTTGATGAGTAGAGAGAGGGGGGAGGGGGGTTATTTTCCCGTATGGAGGCTGTGTTTGGAAGAGAGAGCATTCTGTCGGTAAACTCTGAAATATCCAAGAGGAGTGTGAATATGAGACCCTGCTGAATCACCACAAGAAAGTGGGAGAAATAGCTGGCGAGACAGCTACTGAAGAAAAACAGAGCGAGAGAGAGAGGGGGGAGCCAGGAGGGGGAGCCAGGAGGGGGAGAGTTGGAGGGAGCAAAAGAGAGAGCTAACAAAAGAGAGCACACAGAGCGAGAGAGAGAGAGCGAGAGAGAGAGAGAGAGGCGAGGCAGTCTCAGGGGAGTCTGTCCATTGACCTGCACTCCAGGGCTGGATCGATAAACACTAACCTCTATTGAACACCACTCTTCTCTCTACCCTTTTTCTCTCTCTCTCCCCAGTCTCTCTCTTTATCTCTCTGTCTCTGTCTCTCTCTCTTTATCTCTCTCTCAAAGTGCACACACACACACATACACACACACACTGCTGTGAGCAGCTGGTGTCTGAGGCAGGTGAATCCTATATTCCCACAGAGTGCTCAGCATCTCCCATCAAGAAAAAGAGAGGGAGATAGATTTGGGGAAGGAGCGGAGTAAAGGGAGAAGGGAGGGAGAGGAGAGGAGTGGGAGAGTTGAGAGGATAAAGCAGGGAATGAGTGGAGGAAAGGAGGAGCATGAAAAAGAGGAGGGTAAGATAGGATTTGTAATGTGAAACCTGAGAGAAATACGAGGTGGTTGAGTTGGTCATTTCAGACAGTCAGACAAAACTGTTCTGCTGAAGTTAAGATCTACAGAGAAGCCACCCACTGGGCACAGAAGTCAATTTAACGTCTATTCCAAGTTGGTTCAACGTAACTTCATTGAAATTACTTGGAAACAATGTTGATTCAACCAGTGTGTGCCCAGTGGGCAGCTTCCTGAAACCCCCTAAACTCCCCCTAACAAACTCCCACGTCCCCCATACCCATCCCCCACGTCAACCCTCCATGGCCCAGCCCTAACCTGCCTGTCGCCATCACCCCTTACAACCTTTGACCTTTTGACCTCCAGTCAGCCCTAAGCCCCAGCCCTCTGTCACATCCTCACTGGAAGGAGAGTGTGTGAAGAGGGGAGAAGGGCAGTCAGTTGACGTAGAATAATGTAAATCCACAGAGAATAGTGATGGGAGGAAAAAATCGATACAGTTACATATCGGGATATTATTTTTGACGATATATCGCATCGTAGGCCTCCTGTAGCTCAGTTGGTAGAGCATGGCGCTTGCAACGCCAGGGTTGTGGGTTCAATTCCCACGGGGGGCCAGTATGAAAAATGTATGCACTCACTAACTGTAAGTCGCTCTGGATAAGAGCGTCTGCTAAATGTGTAAAATGTAAAAATCATATCGTTTTGACAATATTGCAATATTATTTTTGTGCTGGTTGGCTCTACCTGCACCAAACCTCCAGTATTTTTCCTTCATAGCTTGTTCTCCATCTTCTTTTTAAATATAGCTTGTCAGCTTGTAGTCCTAAAAATCGGAAATTAGTTACATCTGGTTCATTCAGCCATTCCTATGGGGAAAATGAACGGGAAAAATAATAGGGTTTTGGGATAAACGCTTAGGAGATCTTATACGTTTTGTTCTATGAGATAATATCAATCAGTTAACATGACCTTTATGAATTATGGAGCCTTTATGTGCTTGTTTTGATTACATAAATGCTTCAAAATTCACAAAAAGTGACGTAGCTGATGAAGATGATCTCATAGAACAAAACATATAAGATCTCCTAAACCTGTGCTTACCACAGACCTTATTTTCTATGTTTATCCAAAAACCCTACAAAAACTCCATTCATTTTCCCATAGGCTTTATCCAACGAACTATGGCGGAGTTAGTGCCTACAAAAAGACACCATTACTATTGCTCTCTATAGGGAGCCAATTTGTTTTCAGCACTTTTATTTCCATGACTGATCAAAACTTGTTGTTTTCTCATGCTCTCACTCTTGTCCCTGCAGCAGATATGGTATGAGCAATATGTTTGGAACATCAAATCGCAATAAAATCACAGTACCGGATCGCAATACATATGGTAATGGCACCAAAGTATTGTGATAATATCGTAATGTGAGGTCCCAGCCCTAACAGAGTATTACATTACAATAACAGCAGCCTTCCCCCTCTCTCCAACACCGCTGCCAACTTGTACTGCCACCAACAGACCAGTCGCTAGAGAAATGTCTACCTCTTGCAGCTCCCCCCCCCCCCCCCCCACCCTCAGAGATGAAGGAATACACTATTGATACCACGCTCATTAATGAAGATAAAAATACACCCTGTCACATACCAGCCAGCTCCAGTAATTAAACAAATATGTCTGTGTGTGTGTCGTCGATGCATTTATCTGTGCAGTATGTAAATGCATGCAATGTGTGTATGTGTTTTTGCGTGTGTGTGTGTTTGTCTGTGTTTTGTTGTTTTTCATTAGTGCGTTGTAATCAGTGTGGTAACCGTGATAAACCTTGAGTTTGTTTAATCAGTTTATCAGAGCGAGGGGAACACGCACTATCAGAGGTGGAGCACAGCCAGAAAACACATTCATCAATATGATGACTTAACACTGGAATGTAACACTGTGTGTGTGTGTGTGTGTGTGTTTGAGAGAGAGCATGTGTAGGGCATTAGGGGGTTTGCTTTGTAATCATGTGTGTGTGCGCGTGCATGCCTTTGTGTATGTGTTAGAAGAGGAGGTTGTAGAGTCATTCATCACTGTGATAAGTTTACATGGGGACTTTGTCCAGCCATATTAATATGTGCTGAGGGTGAGAGGGAGTCAGGACATAATCAATGGTTGTGATAAATATGATTAAATGTGATTAATGATGATTAATGAGTCTCTCCTCTGAGCTGATTAATCTATTAACTCCTCTCATTTAGAAACCACACTGGGTTTACTACCAGGGTTCACACACACACACACTCATATGCTCAGTACGTGTGTGTTTGTGTGTGTGCGAGCGAGTGAGAGAGAGAGTTCCTCCTCTCTGCAGTAGCAGTTCCTTTCATAAAGATTCTCAACAAGGTTCATCTCAGGGAACAATTCTTCTATGAAAGCCATATAAGTGAATATACACTATATATGCCAAAGTATGTGGACACCCCTTCAAATTAGTGGATTCTGATATTTCAGCCACACCTGTTGCGGACAGGTGCATAAAATCGAGCACACAGCCATGCAATCTCCATAGACAAACACTGGCAGTAGAATGGCCTTACTGAAGAGCTCATTGACTTTCAACGTGGCACCGTCATAGGATGCCACCTTTCCAACAAGTTAGTTCATCAAATTTCGGCCCTGCTAGAGCTGCCTCGGTCAACTGTAAGTGCTGTTATTGTGAAGTGGAAACGTCTGGGAGCAACAATGGCTCAGCCGCAAAATGGTAGGCCACACAAGCTCACAGAACGGGACTGCCGAGTGCTGAAGCGTGTAGCACGTCTGTTCTCGGTTGCAACACTCACTACCGAGTTCCAAATTGCCTCTGGAAGCAACGTCAGCACAAGAACTGTTCGTCTGGAGCTTCATGAGGGTTTCCATGGCCGAGCAGCCGCAGACAAGCCTAAGATCACCATGCGCAATTCCAAGCGTCTGCTGGAGTGGTGTAAAGCTCGCCGCCATTGGACTCTGGAGCAGTGGAAACGCATTCTCTGGAGTGATGAATCATGCTCACTAATGCTCTTGTGGCTGAATGGAAGCAAGTCCCTGCAGCAATGTTCCAACATCTAGTGGAAAGCCTTCCCAGAAGAGTGGAGGCTGTTATAGCAGCAAAGGGGGTACCAACTCCATATTATTGCCCATGAATTTGGAATGAGAGGTCCGACGAGGAGGTGTCCACATACTTTTGTACGTTTAGTGTATCTGGATAGAATAATCCCTGTGGAGACACTCACCTGAGTCTCTTGGGGCCATCTGAGCCGCTGGGACCGGGGGTAGACTTGCGTTTCCGGGGGCGACCAGGCCCTCTGCGAACAGGGCTGTGAGAGGTCTCTGCTTTCTGGTGGTCATGTTTTCTCTGCAGCTTGGCTAACTCTCTCTGTTTCTCTTTGTAACGTCTCTGGATCTCCGCTAGCTGCACTCGCATCGCTAGCTCCGCCTCATCCATCATCTCCATGGCACCCTTCACCGGACACACCTGCAATACAGACAGACATGAAATATATAGTAGACTGTGTTGTTCAGAGAGATCACTCCAGATTCAAGTTGAAATTTGATGTTTTTGCAGGTCCCCAGGACGTCGGGAGACGCCGCCAAAACCATCCTCTAAGGGCAAAAATACAGATCATGCGGGAGCTATGTGCCTAAATACAGGACGTCGCCACTAGGGGCAACAGTGAGCGCTATTACCATCAAATAGGCAAGGGTTTTGCTAGGGTGTTGTGGACATGGGTGGCGGATGGGCGTAATCTGCGAACTCCAGCGGTTGCGTGTTCAATCCCAGTGATAAGCACTCATCTTTGCAACTTCGAAATTTGACGTTTTGAGCAACTTCCAAATTTGAGTTTGGAGAAACGTGGAAAAACGTCTCATTCTGCAGTGAAACTGTGCGAGCTTGTTGGTGTTGCTTTTGTATCTGTGTGTATGTATATAGAGTTCATACTGTACATGTGCATTAGAAGTAAAAGTGTGTGTGTTCAGTTCTATGTGAGTGTATACAGTTCTATGTATGTTTTGGCATATACACATACCGGCTCGTGGCGAGGCATCCAGCTACATTTCCGTCGCAGGTTGAGGGTCCTTCTGACGGTACAGTGCTGCACCTCCCCCCTCCCTGTAGCTCCTCCCCCCAGCTCCAGACTGCGGGCCGCAGCCAGTGTCGCCAGGCTAAGCAGGTCAAAGGTCAAAACATCCTCACCTGAAAAAGAGAGAGGAAAAACGTTACTTCTTGCTGGAGATGGGTCAAAAAGTGGTGTGAAGATAATATGACATGATTTGTCCTATTGCTGCCCACTAAACAAGTGATTTACAAGCTAAACAAGTGATTTACAAGCTAACTTATAGCCTTCACACCCACACCAACCCACGCACGCATGACCACGCACGCACGACCACACACGCACACACACACTCACTCATCGGCTGAGTGAGAGGGAAAAAGGTAGACGGACGGAGAGAAAGAAAGAGGGAGAGCGCTAAAGGAGTACTGTCTCCCCATCTATCACTGTCATTAACTCTGTCATTGTCACCGCCTGCAGATCAACTAGAATATTCATGAGGGACCAGCTACCCCAGACACACACACATATACACAGGCTGAGCTGCACAGACACAGTCATATTGCTGCGTGCAAGAGAAAAGGAGCGAGAGAAGAAGGAGAGAGAGGATGATGAAGACAAAGGGAGGGAGGGAAGGAGTGGGTGAAGGGAGGAGAAGGAAGAGGAGAAGGAAGAAGAGGCAACGTGTTTATTGAGATATCTATTTATTCTCCTACATCTCCTCATTACCAACATGGACACAATCCAATTTACCCTACAGGGGGAGAGGAGAGGGGGAGGAGAGGGGGAGGAGAGAAGAGGGGAAGAAAGGGGACTGACTCAGTCTACTGAGAAGGAGAACGAGAGAGAAGGGGAAGATGGAGAGGGAGCGAGAGATCGAGAGAGAGGATGAGGGGAAGAGAGGGTGGCATAGCAAGAGAAAGAAGGAGAAGACAGAGGGAAGGAAGGCGAGTGAGCAAGAGAGAACAAGGCTAGATGACAGAGCAGAAGAGAAGAGAGATGGGCGATTGAGGAGAAAGAAATGTGTCTGCTAGGCCAAAAGGAAGCAGTGTCTGGTTTTACTACAGACCCACTCAAAGCTGGACCACTGGAGCTGAACGGCTATTCACTGACAATATTAAAAACCTGTGTGTACCTGAGCTCAAACCATAGAACAGGCAGGGTAAACAGAATATATTAAAAGCGAGGAAGGCAGGGAGCAATAATAGAAAGGAAGGGATGGATGGGTGGATGGATGGGTGGATGGAGAGAAAGTGTGAATGAAAGAATGAGCAAATGAATAAATATATAAATGAATGAACCATTCCCCTCAGAGAGAGAGCGAGAGAGAAAAAGAGAGAGAGGGAGTGAGGGATAGGAGGGAGGAGTTGAGGGATGGATCTCTCTCCTGTCCAGTCCTGGAGTGGAGTCTCGTCTGTCAGAACTCTGGGCCAATGAGAGGCTCTGGTTACCCCTGACTGGATGACATCACCGCTGACATTAACAGGCCTAGTTTAGCCTACCCAAGGGCGGCTGCCACAGATAGATGCCTTCCGCCAGCCACACACACAGGCAGGCGTAAACACACACGCTCACACACGTACACAGACACACAGCTGTGCCTTATAATTTTTTGCACTTAGGTAGATGCCTTCCGCCCACACGCCGGCATAAACACACACACACACACACACACACACACACATGCAATCACACACACAGCTGTGCTGCGCGTTATAATTTTTTGCACTTATTAATTCTGTCATCAGGGCTTGCTAAGGAAGGATTTACACAGAAGATTACATCGCTTTTTATAAATGAAAAAAAAGTGGGGGAGGGGAACAACAAATGGAGAAAAGCGCAGCCAGTGTGGTGAAGAGAAACACAGATGCTGATGGAGTGTAACAGGGATTCATCTGGGATTACTTAATAGCTTACACGCACGCACACACGCGTAAATAAAAACACCTTCTCTCAGAGGGAAAAGAGGAACGGTTTAAAGAAGAAGTGTTTTAAACAAGAGCTTCTAATTAGCCAAGCCACACTCCAGAGCCTGAGGGAGGGAGGGAGGGAGGGAGGGATGGAGGGATGGAGGGAGGGAGGGAGGGAGGGAGGAGACACTTACACTTTTGTATTGTGTTTCTTTCATTCTCCTATCCATCCCCCTCCCTTCTTTTGCCCCCTACCACTCCAAACCACTCTCCCTCACCACCACATCTCCTCCCCCAGGGAAACATTTGATCTTTGGACTTGAACAGAGGCTCTGAGAGAACAGAGGAAGGAAGCTGGACAGTCAGTGGGGACGTTGCGTGTGTGTGTGTGGCATGCACATCTGGGTTCCACACTCAGTTCTACCATCTCTGTTTCTCTCTCTGCTCCTCTGTATTTCTGTCTCTGCGTCTGCATGTCTGTGTGTGTGTGTGAATGTGTGTGCTCTCACACATTCTCTATCCACTCACTTCCTGTCTCTCTCTCCTTCTCCCTGTTCCTCTGCAGTATCCCCAGCTCAGCCAACTCTCCCAGTATCTCCATGCCTCGGTGTGGGAGTGGGCACGGGGCGGGCAGGGGTGTGTTGGAGGGGGGCACAGGGGGGTAGCGGGCATCCCGGGTGGCACACAATGCTGCGGCAATAAGAAGCTCCAGACTCCAGATGCAGGGATCATCACTGAGGGTGAGGGTGGAGGCTGCGGCTGCGGTTGGTGTTGGGGCTGGAGAGGGCCAGGGTCTGCTTAGTAACTCCACAGAGGCTTCACTCGTACTCATCCTACCTCCCTCCTCCTCCTTCTTCTCCTCCACCTCCTCACCCTTCTCTCGCTCCTCCTTCTCCCCATGTCCAGTTAGCTCAAGAGGCAGGGAAAAAGTACAATCTGGTAGGTGGTTATTTTTCAACTCTGCTGAACTTTCCTCTTTCTCCTCATCTTTCTTCGCCTGTGCTGGTTGTGGGTCCTTCAAGCCAGCTGGCTGGGCCAGGCTGCCCACAGAGACCTCTCCTTTCTGGGCATCCTCAGAAGCAGAGACTGGGGCTAGAGATGGAGCTGGAAGTGTGACTGGGGATGAGGCTGAGGTTGAAACTTGGGCAGGACAAGACACCATTTCAGGAGTCTTCACTCCACTGCCAAATAGTGGGGGCTCAGATACTGCTTGCCCCTCCACCTCTGCTCCTTCTCGTTCCCTTTCTACAACTTTACACCCGTTCTCCTTCTTCTCCGTTTTCACCTCCTCATCCTCCAAAATATTCACGGTGTGTGGGCGGGGCTTAGGACAGGGTTCAGCTGGCTCCACCTCCAGATCAGCATGTTCAGCCAATCGGGCCTCCTCTGGGGAAGGACCAGCCTTGTAACCCATGGCAATTTCTGGATAGGTGTAACCTGGCGGAAGATCTGAGACAGAGAAAGAAAATAAACTCCTTTAGTCAAGAGTGACTAATAAACAATCAATCATTCAATCAAAAAGGCAACAGAGCTTTAGTTGAGGAAACATTGATACAGCAAGTGTAGTCTACAGGCAGCAAGAAATAGGGTATCCCAGCAGCAGCAATTTGTGCATCTAGGCTATATGTCCGTGTGTATGTGTAGGGGATATTGATGACATCCTGCTGTCTGGCTGTGATTGCAGTGCCGACCCTGTCACCCCACAACTCTGTTATTGATGGTATCCCTCCGCCCCCTGACAACGCCGCCAGATGATTGCATATCCTTCCGCCTGCTGTCTTTCAAGGACCTCTGAAGGATAAGGAGGGTCCATCAGAAATGTCTCTGACCTCGTACATATTAGTACACACACGCACATTCAACACACAGACTATGGGTTCATCCTTGCTTCAAACGTTCTTTGCAGAATCAAAGAATAACAGGCTTCACAGACTAAGGTTTCTTATCTTTCCTGCGGCATCTTCGTCTCTCAACGTCTCTGTCTACTATCTGTTCTCCGTCTACTATCTGTTCTCCTCCTTTCTTTCCATATCCTTCTTTCACCAATTCTCTATAAATGTTTCTCTCTCCCTCTACTCCTCTCATTCTCTTGCTTTCTCTCTCACACACATTCTCGCTCTCTCTCCTATTTCCCTCTCTCTCCCTCCTCCTCCTCCTCGATCTCAGTAGTAAATGGAGGCTGGTACAGACCCTAACCTTGGGAACTGATGAAATGTTCCAGTGTTTCTCCTCTCTCCTCCACAGAGCAGAGGGAATAAGGGATAAGACCGCTATGTGTCTTTCGGTTTATTAGGTGGTGTTGATGAATACTATATCAGAAATAAAGACACAGTGCAGGAGAAAGTGCCAGAGACTAAAGCTCAAGTGTTTGTCAAAGAGGGAGTGTGTGTGGTGCATATTTGTGAGTAAAATTAAGAATGGGAGAGAGTTGGGAGAGAGTGCGTAGGCTACTTGTGTGTGACAGGGTCAGAGTGCGCCAGGAAACATACAGCTCAGACATCAGTCCATCGATCCAAACTCACCTGGCTCTAAGGATTGTGGGTAATCCTGAGGAGGCTGCCCCTCTCCTCTTTCCCCTCTTTCCACTCCTTTCAACAGGTGTGAGGGGGCGGGGCTTAGAGCTGGGGATCTCGGGGCTGCAGCCACAGGGCTGGGGGCGGGGTTTAAACGGTTATGGGGGTGTGGTCTCCTGGAAGGGGAGTTACAGCAGGGTGATTGGCGGCTGCTGGGACACACACCCTGGGAGGGAGTGGTGGTCTTGGAGGGAGCGGTATGGGAGAAGGGCTTAGCAGCACGGGAGGTTCTCGAAGTCTCGTGGAGAGGAGGGTCGTCAATGGTGATAGTGGTGTCCTCTGCCTTCCTCTGTTGGGAGGTGGAGGGGGGAGAGAGAAACGATGGGTGGGAGAGAGAGGGGAAAGAAGTTCAATCTATTTTGAGCCTTAGAGAATAGCCACATACTGTATTCCTTCAAAACCCTGACCATTTGTGATGCGCGGGTCAGCTGTTTATTCACCCGCACGCAATTGTTAATAATCCACGATTTTTGGACAGGCCTTTTTAGATAGGCCTATATTTCTGCTTCTAATTTCCAACATTTTGGTAGGCTATTTGTTAGGCAACTTGCCTATAATTAGATACATGCAGCTTCTCTTCTGTCATTACTTGTTGCCCTAGAACAGGGTTTTTGCCATAGCACTACACAGTTGATTTAATAATCAACTCATCATCAAGTTTTGATTATTTGTATCAGCTAGGGCAAACACCAAAACCTGCACACAGTGGGAGCCCCAGGACCGAGTTTGGGAAACCATGTCCTAAAAGTCTAAATAAACCCTTGCTCACCAGAATAATGTCATAAATCGATAGAATGAATGCTTCAATCTAGTTGACATCTGTAAAGTTTGTTTAGTCTTTCCTCTTACGTCTCTGCTTCTCTCGCGCAGCGAAGACGTTTAGGGACCGGGGAGAAAATGCAATAACCCCCAAAAAACGGGAAAGATTTCCATGCAAAATTTGCAAATTACATCAGTTTGACCGGTTTTAAGGAAATTAAAAGCTGTTAAAATGACCCAACATGTTTTTGATAAGATTTCAGTTCGGCTTGGATGCATATATGATCAGCTTTTATAATGCTGATAAAGATAGTACCGCCACCTTTACAGACAGTCCCTAACCGCACATTCAGTCTCTCAAGATGCTGAAAGAAAGAAATCATATTTCTCCACTCCTGTTCCAGAGTAAAAATTCACATTTGGTGTATAATTTTAATGCCAGAAATGCTTAATTCTGCAAGAGTTAATATTATATTAGGCTATGTGAGAGGTTATTGACCTACAGGCAGTGTCCAGATTTCAGTTAGGCTACTATTCCATTTAACCGACCTGAACAGTAGCCTACAGTTCCCTTGACGCGCCATTTTAAAGTCCGGTCTTGTGACTCACAATCATCACACATAACGTAGCCGGCATTGCTATCATCCTCTTTTACCACTTCACCAAATCTTTCCCGAACATTAGAATACTGTTCTGGCCCTCCCTTCTCTTTATTTTCAACTCTCCATTTCGCAGCTGTTCTCTTATTGAATTAAACTCCAACATTGTCCTTTTTGCCTCAGTGGATCGACGTTAACTTTTTCTGCCCAAGTTCCCAAAAGCATTTTGGCAATTGCCATGTATTTGGAGCAGTACAGTTAGGTCCTAAAGCTCAGGCTTAGCTACGTACTAACACCAGATACAAATAATGAAAGAAAAACCTAAATGTAGCCTGTAGATATGAATTGCACAAGAATGATATATTTATGCATTTTTCATGTTTTCCCCCCTCTTTATTCAACCCTCCCACCATCCACCCTTCATCCACACAATATTTAATGACTCTAAACCCGCCCACCCCGCGGATATAACCACGTGGACTGCGGGTTAGGAGTCAACCAGTGCATCACTACAGACCATCATGTTAGGAACACAATATGGGTTCTTGGGTGAACGCCACAAGCTAGTACAGACATTTTCAGCCAGCCAAAGGTCACTGGCAGTCTGCTAGGATCCTTTGTCTCTTGACAAAATGCTTTCTCTTTAAAAACAGCCTGGCTTTCCCTTTTCTCTGTGTTGAAACATCTCTGGCTCTTGTGGTTGAGAATCAACAGTCTACAACTGAATATGCTGAATATGGTGAAAGCATGAACTCTGGGTTTGTTTCAGCATGTTGTTTCCTAACTTCCTGATCCATGTGTGCAGACAGTTTCACAACATGAGTGTTGGCCATGGTCAAGGGGGAAACTGCAGTGTAAAAAGGTTATTTGGGCTACTAGGAGCAAAAGTCACTGTGTTTAAGAGTATTCTCTCCATTAAAAGTTACATACGAGTGTTGAGAGTGTGTGTGTTACCTGTGAATCACGTGTGTGTTTACCTGTGAGAGTGTGTGTTGTCGGTGCATGTGCTCCATGGCCCTGTGTTGTTGCTGGTGGTGCTGATGCTGCAGGGCGTAGAGCTCCTGTTGCCGTAGGAACGGCGAAACGGGAGTAAACAGCGTGATGCTGCATGTGGGGGGAGGGGCCCCGTGCTCCATAGACCGAGGGCCACAAAGCTGACTGGTCCATCACATCTAGAGAGAGAGAGAGAGAGAGAGAGAGAGAGAGAGAGAGAGAGAGAGAGAGAGAGAGAGAGAGAGAGAGAGAGAGAGAGAGAGAGAGAGATAGTGGTATTTTCGGTCTGTTCTGTTCAAATCGATAAAGCGTGATTGAATTTTACTTTCAGAAAGGGACTGAGTGAGTGAGTGAAAGAGACAGCAAGTAAGAGAGTGTGTGTGTGTGTGAGTCAGTGAGGGAGAGCGAGAGAAAGAGAATAAGGGTGTGTGTGTGGAAGCAGCTGTGTTGTTTCTGTCAGTGTGGCCTCAGACATCACTCTCTCCCTCTCTTTATCTCTCAGTTTCTCATGGTGGTGTCTTTATGTGCATGGCAAGACATATATTCCCATTTGCCCCACCCCTTCGTGGCTGCCACTGAAGTCGCTGGGAACCTTTGTTCTGTGAGATTAGCCTGAGTGGGCTTATGTTTCCCTGGGGAAGGGTTCAGTGGATGCACTTCCCCTCTCTGTAGGAACTCCTAAGGAGCGAGGCAAGGGAGCAGGCAGATAATTACATTTCACAGCCTGTTTGCAAAGGAGCGGTAACACACACACACACACACCACAAACATCTGACTACACCACACACACACTGCCAAACTCCACCACATAGGAACACACCAACACACACTCATCCCACACACACCCACACACTGCATCTTTCTCTCTGTGGCTGAACCATGAGAAGCGGTGCCATCTCTCTCCCTGAATTTTAGTATCATTAGCTAATCATAGTAAAATGGTTGGCTAAGTCCCTCTGTCAGAGACTCTGTGTTTTATGGTTCTGTTAATGGGAGCAGATATTCTAATGCCTCCTCTCTGAGTGTAAAGCATTATGCAAACCATTCTAATGGAGGTTCATCTTTAGCGCTGGCTAACTGGCTGGGTATGTGTGTGCGTGTGTGTGCGTGCGTGCGTGCGTGCGTGGCCTGCATGTGTGTTTGTGTGTCTTACCCAGGTGGTGGTGTGCTCCAGGCTCCGAGGGCAGGACCACCAGGGAGCCAGAGGGGTCCTGGGACAGAGGCAGCACAGGCTGCAGGGGGCTGGGCAGGCCAGGGCCAAACCCTGGGCCCATACTCTGGTGCAGCGCCGCATGGCTCAGACCTGAGACAGAGAAAACAGATGTTTAGAACATGAACTTTGAGTTTGTTTCTGCATGTTATTTCCACACTTCCTGATCCATGTGTAAAGACAGTTTTACAACAATATTATTGTTTGTCATGGTCTGTGGGGAAACTGTACTGAGGAAAACAAGAATGCTCAGCTCACCATATGAATGGCCCATCCAAAGGGAGGGACTTCCAGTCCGCTGCATCCAATGGTGGTGGGCATGAGCAGAAGGGTCTCCACCTAATTGGCTGGCCCTGCCGGGCACCAGAAGGTGAGAGGTCAGGTCACCATGGCAACTGCTGGATGGGTGGATCCTGGCAAACTCCCCTCTCTCCTTGTTTTCCCTGATGAGGAGTTCTCTGTCTCGGTCGAGGTGATGAAGGCTCAGCTGCTCCTCGGTCATCCTTTTCCTCTCTTCTGCCTCCCGGCCCAGCGGGTACACAGAGCGAGAAACACCTGGCAACACACACAGCGGGAGAGAGAGGGTTTAGAAAGCAGATCTGGTAACCCTTAAACAAAGCTAGCCTAGCTATGCCATAATTCTTAATAAGTCATGCCAGATTTCTAAACACAACGCAGCTGTTGAAAGAGTTGAAAAAACATTTAAAAACATTCCAATACTGAAGCTAAGACTAACATGCGTGCATAAATACAGAGACATACAGATAAATAGATCCAGCTCTCACCTTTGATGCTGGGCAACACCCTGCCCTGTCGGCTGTGTCCTGGGAGGGTGTCAGAGGGGCGTTGGAGGGGCTCTCTCTGCCGGGCGACCGCCACAGCTATACCCACAGGGGGCTGTCGCACCTCCCCCTCCCCGTGTGTCTCCCCCGTCTCCCTCTCCCCTCTTCCCCCTCCATCCATCCTTTCCCCCTCGCTGGTGGACCCTCTCCTAGGGGGTAGGGGCTGTTTGGGGGGGTCCTGAGGGGCGCTGGGTCTACCCCCTTTCACTCCCCTCTCGCCCCCTTGTTTCAGGCAGCCCAGCCCCCCGAAGGGACTCCTCTGGGAGAGCAGCAAAGGCTGCTGGGAACTGTAGTTCATTAGGTTCTTCATGGCGCTGCTCTCTCCCTCTAGGTGGGGGGAGGAGTGGGAGGAGTGGTGAGAGTGGGGGTGAGAGGGGTGAGGTGCTGTCATAGACTGCTGTTGGTCATGGTGGTTTTGAGTCCTGTTATCGGGGTAGGACTCTGTGTGGGGGGACATCCTCCTCTCGTCCTCTTGGGGACCTCTCAGTACCCCCCAGGGGTGCAGTGTGGAGGGCGTTTGACCCCCGTACCCCATGACAACACCACCCTCACCATTCTGATTTTGGCTCTGCCTCCCCCCCTCTCTCCCCCTCTCAGTGCCTGATCCATCAGAACCCGACCCGCTGCCATGACTACTGTGCTGCTGGTGCCTTATCCTAGCAACCTTCTGCCCCTTTCTTTGGGCACTCCCCCCCGACCCCCCCTTTCCCTCAGGAGGAGCTGAGTGGGAACAGTCCCGGAAGGGCGGGGTGCTGGCGTAGGGCCCAGTCTTGGTGGCGTGGTGCCCAGCCCCGGGGTAAGTGCTCTGGGCTTCAAGAGGCAGGGAGGGCCGGTAGACCTCTAGGACCTCCAAGTCTCCCCTGGAGGAAGAGGCCTCTAGGCTGCAGGTGCGAGGCCCGGGCTGGGGGTTAGGGTGGTGGGACTGGGGGTTAGGGTTATGGGGCTGAGGCTGAGACTGGGAGTTGGGCTGGTAGTTCTGGCTGTGGTGGTTGTATTTGTGGTTCTGGTTCCAGTCTGGGGGCTTGTCTGCCTTGCCGTAGCCCAGCTGCTGTTGATGGGGCTGGGGCTGCTGCGTCTGGGACGACAGCTTCCTCTGGCAGTTACTAGACTGAGGATGATGAGGATGAAGAAGAGAATGAAGACTTTCACTAGAGCCTCCTCCTCTTCCTCCTCCTCCGCTCTTCTCTGCCCCTTTTACATCCTTAGCTCCGCTTCCACCTACTCCTCCTCCAGCACCACGGCAGTCAGGGGACCCCATGTCCCCAAAAGGCCCGACTGAGGGGACGTACGTTGGGCCAGAGACTTTCGCCTCCCTCCCTGATCCTCTGTCTTTAGGGGGGGTGAGGGTGAGGGGGGCAGGGGGAGGGGGGCAGTAGAACTCAGGGTGGGGTGATGGGGGTGGTGAGGATGGTGCAGCCAGCCCCCTCCCACAGCAGGCCCCATATGTAGTGGTGGAGGAAGGGGCGGGGGCGGCATGGAGTAGGAAGCCATGGCATGGGGGTTGTGGGGTCCCATCATGGCTGCTCGACGCAGACAGTCTGACGAGGAGGAGGGAAGAGTTTCACTTATCCTCATCTCCCCGCTCACACCACCTTCCTTGGAGCATCGTCTCGCCCCTCCACTACCACTCCCCTGGGGTCTGCTACCCCCTTCACCTCCACCTCCACAGCTGTTCAGGGACCCGCCCTTGGACCCAGACCCAGAGTCACCATTGGATAGTTTACTAAGTTGAGCACAGTTAGTCATGTGTTTGGAGCCCTGGTTTAAGGGGTCGTTTCCGTGCTTTGCGGGGTCGTCCCTGTATTCCGTGGGAAGGTTGGGGGTTTTGTGTCTGTGGTCCTCCTCACCAATGTGAGTGGGGAGGAAGTGGGGGTGAGAAAGCGAATGAGGCTGATGTTGATGGTTGGGATGATGATGTCTCTCTTTGCTCTCCTGGGGTCTCTCTTTGCTGCTGGATCTCTCTTTCTCTTTCGACACACTCTTTTCCATCATCCCCGGTTCCTTGGAGCTCTTTTGGGGTCCCCCTCCCCTCCTCCTTCCCCAGAGTCTGTTTCTCTGCTGCAGGACCCCAGAGGATGTCCGGGGGCAGTCCTAGACAGTGTCGGAAGGCTGTGATTGGTTGAGAGAAGAGGGGGCTGGGACGGCAGACTTCTCAGATAGAAATGATCTGGAAAGATAAAAAAATATTATGTGTAAGGATTGCAAAATGTAGAAAATAAAGAAATTCAAAAAATAGAAAAATAAATATGGATTTAAATTTGGCTGATGCCATTTCACTACAAAATTACTAAATAGCAACACACAGAAAGTGGTTCTGTAGCAAAAAAATACAGTTAAAATACACATAAAATAGTTCTCACACACACACCTTTCTGAGTGTCGTAGAATCGGTGCTGTCCGTAGAGAACGCTGCTGTTGCTATGGTGATCCAAGTGGCTCATGGGAAGAAAGGGGGAGGTCAGACCTCCTGAATAACGGGGATACCCTGAGAGAGAAAGAGGAGGGGAGAGTGAGAGAGAGCAAGGACATAGAGAGAGAGAGAGAGAGAGAGAGAGAGAGAGAGAGAGAGAGAGAGAGAGAGAGGAAGAGAGAGAGAGGAAGAAGTTCAATGAAATTCAATGTCATTTTGACCACAAGACCTCTATTAAATGCCCCCAACATGATTATCCCCATCATTTACAGTGGACACAGCGGTGATAACAACCATAACAGAGTGTAACTGCCAAGAGCTGAGTATTTTTCAGGATGGACTTTGCTTATACAAAATAAGTCTGTGTTTTTCTCTTCAGGACGCTCATCCAAGACAAATAGTGGTGCCCATAACCCATTTCAACCCGCGCCTTTTCACACACACACACACACACACACACACACACACACACACACACACACACACACACACACACACACACACACACACACACACACACACACACACACACACACACACACACAGAGAGAGTTCTTCCCAGGGGGTCAGCGGGAGGTAAATGGCCGTTCTGCTCAACTCCTCGCCTCCAAGGACATTGAACTGCATCCTGGGATAGCGGAGACCTCAACGGGGGGTGAGAGGATATTTATGTGAAAACCAAATATTTATGTCACCATGAAGCAGACAAAACACACAAACCAGACACACACACACACACACACACACACATACATCAAACACATGCAAACATGTAGTCCTACACACGCACAAACACACGTTGCACACACTGGGCCTCCTACACACAGTGAGAGTGACCAAAATGCTTGATGTGTGTGTGTGTGTGTGTGTGTGTGTGTGTGTGTGTTTGTGCCCTTTCCCAAATTGGTTTCCCAGCTGGTTTCAAGCCCCAGAGTGTCCTTGCCGCCGGTTAATTGGCAGCAGTTAACAGTTTAACGGTGGTGGCCAAAGTAAACAGCACTCCATAAAACTCATCCTCCACATTCCTCAGACGCACAAAACCACCAACACCCCCGACATGTTGGTCCCAGTCAGTGTGTGTGCGTGTGCGTGCATGTGTGTGTTTTTTAACAACCAGTTAATCTAAATGGCAACAATTAACCAAAAGGCTCCATCGGCCATCTAGAGGCAGTCACAGGCTAATGGTGAGGGATAAACCTAACAGAGAGAGATGGGGGAGGAGAGAGATGGGGGAGGAGGAGAGAGGAGAGAGAGAGAGAGAGAGAGAGAGAGAGAGAGAGAGAGAGAGAGAGAAGGGAGGGAGGGAGGGAGGGAAAAAGGAAAGGGGAGGAGAGAAGGGGATCAGAGAGAGATGGAGGAGAAGGAGAAGGTGGGGGAAGAGAGCGAGAGAGAGAAAAAGAGAAGGAGAGGAGACAGGGGACAAGAAAGGGGGGAAAGATGTGGGATCAAGGGAGGGAAATGGAGTGAGAACATGCACACACCAAAACAGTTTGAGAACTCTGTCAATAAAAACTCTAATATGTAGGGAAGGGAGTTGGAGTAGTGGAGTTGGAATAGTGGAGTTGGAGTAGTGGAGTTGGAGTAGTGGAGTGAGAGAATAAGGAGAGAGGGAATAGAGATGTAGGGAGAGAGGATGGAAGTTGAAGGACTAAATGAAGGGGAGTGGAGAGCTTTAAGATAAGACAAGAAGAAAGGGAGGAAAAGCAAGAACACATGGGAAACGGGGAAGACAAGGACAGGTGTTTGACAGAGAGTAGAGTGTGTGTGTGTGTGTGTGTGTGTGTATGTGTGTGTGTGTGTGTGTCCAGGCTCTCCTCTCTGTACTGGCTGTGCTCCACTCTCTGGACTGAGGCCAGCTGGCAGTCTGCCTACTGGTGCTCCCTGGCTTGGATTCTTCAAAACAATCATTTGTAGTGTGTGTGTGTGTGTCTGTGCATGCGTGCGTGCGAGCGTGTTCATACACACACACATCAAAGGTGAGCCACACAGAGAGGAATCCGTCTGATACTCACAAACGTTTTCGCTCGCTCTCTTTTTCTCCTCTCTCTCTCCCCCTCTCTTTTTCTCCCCCTCTCTCCCTCTCTCTCTCTCTTTTTCTCCTCGCTCCCTCTCCCTCTCTCTATATTTCTCCTGCTCTCACTGTCTGACTATCACAATTCAACACTTCCGCTCTCTTTTACTCTTTCTATGAATTCAATTCAATCCAAATAAGCTCCAGGCAGTTTTAAATTAACAACAAGAAAACATTAGCAACTCTCCCTCTCTCTGACTAGTATGCTGCTTTTACTGTATATATAAAACATTTGGTATCTTCTGCACCTACCTACATTAACATGCATAAGCAGCATTCTGTTTTGTGTTATCTGTTTTAGCTCATCTCCCCTTGAAACTGCGCACACACACACACACACACACACACACACACACACACACACACACACACACACACACACACACACCTGACTGGGGTAGATAACTGAGACAACTTCTCTTTCTGACCGCAAACGGTTAACAGCCAAAAGAAGATATGGTGCACCCGTCCAAAAGACACAAAACGTTGTATTTGTGTGTGTGTGTGTAGCAGGAAGGGGGCCGTTGGAGGTCGGTTAGCCCAGAGGGGCCCTGAGGGCGGGGCTGCGGTCTGAGAGAGGGGGGTGACGGGGTATAGGGGCTCCCGAAACTACACTCCTGATACCCACAAGGAGGGCGGGGGGTAAGTGAGGAGAGGCGGGGCTGAGAGAAGAGAGGGGTTGAGAGGAGAAAAGAGGGTAGATAAGAGATGAGAGGGGAAGGGGAAAGTCTATGAGAGAGGGGGAGAGAGAAAGGAGTGGGGCAACAGAGAGAGTGAGCAAGCATGTGCACACACATCCACACACACACCCTCCCAATCCCTGTTCCCAGAGAGTGTAATCCCAGGTCTGATAGATAGGGACAGAGTCATTACGTGCCTTAAAGAAGCCCCGAGCCAAAACACGGACCAGCCACGTTTCTGTTTACACAGCAACACTCCAAGGCTTACACAGCCTGGTGTGTGTGTGTGTGTCTGTCTTACCTTCATGTGAGTGGGGGAACCAGATGGGAGAGGCGCTGGAGTGAGGTCCTCCCCTGTAGGAGGGGGAGGAAGGGGAGGCAGGGGGGCCGGATGGGTGAGACTGGGGAGAGCCCAAACTGCTGGCCAGGAATGAGCCCATGAACGATGCACCTGAGAGAGAGAGAGAGAGAGAGAGAGAAATGTAAGTTATTTCACTTGTAAAGCTTCTTGTGTTAAGAGAGAGATAGAGAAAGACCATTTAAACTTGCTGAAAACCTTTGACAGACAAACTAGCCACAATAGTCTGTTGCACACAATGCCTGCAAACACACATGCGCGCACAGGCACGCACGGACGGGCGCGCGCACACACACACAGTCACGCCCTTGACAGTCAGACCACTACAAAACACCCCAAACAACCACAACCACAAGAACCCTCAACTGCCTCACATCTAAGATGCTGTCTCTACACACACACAAATAGTATTTTAACAGAATAGGGTCAATAATAATGTGATAGGATAGGATGTGAGGAGGGGGTGAGAGAGGGTGAGGAGGGTTAGGGGTAAGAGACTGAAGGGGACAGGAAAGGGGCAATGGTCTGTGGACAAGGAGGCGGGTCAGTCGGGCGTTCTATTATTACAGCTGGAGCACACACACACACACACACACACACACACACACCCTCTCAATCTAAAAGGAGAAACCGTCTATAGTTTCACTCAGCTCAGTGTAGTCATAATAAACCAGATTTCTGGGTAAAACCTGAAAGCTGTTTAAAGAAACCCAGACATGACTTCCCATACCAGAATGTTGTTTTCTCTGTCTCTCTCTCAACTCTCTCTCCCCCAGAAGACAATTGTCTGTCTGCCCTGATGGTTGTACTAACTGTGAACTTGTGCCATCCTAGAAAACACTCCAGACGTGTGTGAGGTTAGGTTCCCACGCTGCATCACAGGGGTTCAGATAGAGGATGGACGCACGCACGCACAAACACACACACAGACATCACATCGATGTCCAGGAAACCAGTTCTCAAACAAAACTGGGTCAATTCACGTCAGACAGAGAGAGTCTATCTCATGACTTCCATCTCTCACTTCCCTCTCTCTTTCACTCCTCTCCTCTCGTTCTGCTCTGTTTTCCGTCTGTGTGTTGAGGAGAAAATCATATTTGTTCTCCCTCTGGGCCGCTGATATGGAAAATCCTCTCAGAAGCCAACTGCCACCATATTTCTCTCCTCCTTTCCCTCTCTCTCCACTTCCCTTTGTTGCGTACATCCTTCTATCTCCCTCTATCCCTCTCTCCCTCTCTCTATCCGCATCTCTCTCTTCTACTCCTGCTCCTTCTCTCTGTTGCTCTCTCCTCTCTTTCTCTTTTGTAAAATGTCTCCCAAGCCTTGTAAAAACACACAGCTGGAACCCCAGGGAGATCTTTCAAGATTGACGTCAAAATTTGACATTTATCCATGTCCTGAGGACGTCGGGAAATACCTTCAACACCGGCCACTAGGGGCAACAGTGAGCGCTATTACCATCAAGTAGGC